TGAGCCCTGATTCATGGTTATGACCCCAGGCAGTGATTCAGAGAGGACAACGCTTACTACCAATAAAATGCACATCTCTTGACCATTTAGCCTGCAGAAGCTAATGAGGCATTAGCAGGAGAATATTTAATGGACTCTGCTGGCGTGGTAATTAAGGCCAAATGACAGAACTGGGGAGCGGAGCAATGGGGCCTGTGCAGTTATAACCACTTAACATGATAGAGTCTGTTAGCCACAATATCTTAATTCTAAAGAATTACTTTTTTTTTTTTCTCAAGCAAAAAACTAGAATGAAACTAGGCGATTAAGAGGGAAAAAAAGCATATGATTATGCAATGTATTTATATAAATGGCTATTAGTTGTAGGTCTTAATCGTCATCTGATAACATTGCACTTGCAGAATAGTGCAAAAAAAAAAAAAAAATAGTACCTAGGAACATCTTTGTATCTTACCTCTCCAAGTAGTAAGTTAATGGTATATTAATCATCATATTTTAGGGGTAGATACAAAGTTGTCCCTTTAAGTTTACTGTCCTATAGTGACTAGCTGTTGTACCCCTAAATGTAAAAATTTTGCACATTTTTTCAGACAGTGGCAAACTTGAATTTGTGATGTCATGATCTAAATTGTTCATTCGCGCATCTGACTGGACCATTCCCGTGAAGCAAACTCATGTAATGTGCCATACATGATTTGTTAGACACTTGTCTCTCTCTGTGGGCACTGACATTCAGGATTCAGTCGTTTGTTGTGTAGATGACTGAAAAATATTTCTTTGGGTTATATGAAGCTGGTGTGAAAGGTAGAAACTGGCTCAGTGAAAGTCAGAGGCATCAAAGGCTGGACGCAGCAGCCACCGTTCCCAACAGGATCCTACTAACCAACTCCTGCAAGCATCCAGAAACTGCTATTTATAGGGATCTGCATTACGATCCGGGGTGTGCTGCAATCTTTGCGGTGGAACCAAAGGCAGGAGACGCAAGCAAATCACAGCAACACAAGCCTGCAAACGGTCCAGATGAAAGGGGGGAGATTAGAGCGATTTAAAGAACATTTAAAGTCATTAATCTAATATATTGCCTTATAAGAAGAGTGAAAAGCAATTTAATTAACATCTAGAAAAGCAAGATGAAGGCAAGTTACTCTTACACACACTCATGCAACATCAAAAGACCCTGGTCTTGATTAAAGACATTAAAATATCAGTAAATATCTGTTATAAAAGCAGGTAAGACCGTTTTTATGGAAAGATCTTTAACAATATATCATATAAACGCACATAATTCAAAGTGATTAGAATGTTCTTGTTTGTTAAAATCTAGCAAAATCCCCAGGGTTAAATGAACCACAGTCTTATTTTTACACCAGGAGTGGGGATTCTCACTTATAGCAAGATTGTCCCTTTAACTTAACACTACAATAAACCCTTGTGTAGCTTTTAAAACACATGGTATTAATTTACCGATCCTTTTTTCTTCCAAATTATTCAACAAGGGTTTGTTGAAGTTTACCAAATGTGGCTGAATTTCAAGAAAAGAAACAAATGCAGATGTAAGTTTCCACTTTACAGCCTGTTTATGTATTGTGAATTCCTTCCTAGGAGACGGGGGCTTTCATGTCTTAATTGGATTGTGTGACTGTGGCTTTGTCTAACAAATGCACATTTTCAACGCTAATGATCGACAGTCACAGCCCTGATTTTTGCCTAAAGCACTTTGACTGTGAGCCTAATGAGTAAGGAATAAACTAATACCTTATGTTCTGCTAGCAGGAAACTCTCCAGGAACATTAACCATTTCAAACACCTCTATAACCGCACCTTCACCCAGCCGGAGGTATTAAATGAAGGAAGTAAACACTGAGAGCTGGGTGCAAGGGACTGCAAAATGAAAAGACAAGCTAACGCAAATCAGTAGAGGATGATCAGCAAGAAAGCGTCTTGGTTCATTAGCGATTGTGCAATTAAAGTCATTGGCAGTATCACTGTAAAAAAATATTTTCAAGATTTCTTATCACAACATTTTTTTTTTGTCAAATCAACTTAAATAATTTATTTAGTTGAGATAACTACTTATTTTGAGTTTCTGATGATGATCACCTTTCATTGTAGTAACTCACTTTTTCCAGTTCAATCAACTTAAAATTAAGGAAACCAGGTTACTTACTTTAAGTTAAACCAACAATATTTTTTTTACAGTGTGGTTACCACAAGCAATATATAAATATACATATACACTGTACGCACAATATGACAGAAGCACATTGGTTATAATACTATATTAGAAACTATTTTTTAATTTATCATAACGTGTGTGTGTGTATACTAACATAAGTAGGCTATATGTATACTTATAAACACAGTTCAAAAATTAGTATGATTTTTTTTTAAATACTTTTTATTTAGCGAGAATACATTTAATTGATCAAACATGCAGTAAAGAGATTTCTCCGTTTAGAATTAATTCTGTTCTATTAAATTTCATAAAAAAATCAACAAAGAATCTTGAAAAAAGTATCATGGTTTGCATAAAATATAAAGCAACTGTTAACAACATTTATAATAATAATAAATGTTCATAATAAATAAAAGTAATAGGAAATATTCAATATTACATACTTTGTTTAATTTAATAGTGCAGGCTAATATTTACAATCTCAGAAAAAAATGGTACCAACCTGCATTCTGTGGATTATTGAATTTGACCATTTTCTTGCATTCTTCCTTTTCATGCGCTCTATATAAAGCCACCTGTTACAAATACAAAATGTATTTTTTACACATTGCTTTTCTATAATAAAGACTCTTACAAATGAGTTCATAGACCATTATGTACAAATTCTGCATGAACTAATGTTTTAGACTGTCAACCATTTGAGGTCCTTAACAAAATGAAAGTATAGCAAAGACGGCCAAAAAGGGAAACCATAACGCTCTCCTCACCTTTCCCCTCAATTTACCTCTTAACAAGCTTGTAAAGTACCACAGGCCTCTGCACCACAGAGCAAGAAAAGCAGACAAAACCAAATGCTTAAAAAAAAAAAAGGCAAGAAAGTACATTAGTTGCAGCACTATTTCCAAGCAGCCAACCATCAATTCCGCATGCTTATTCTGTTAAACCACGGACACAGGCCCATGTGTCAGCTCTTAGCAGACATGCGAATTCAGTCGTTTTTCCATCGAGGCCTGGGGATTATTAAGAGGTTGAGCTTGGAAGAGAGGACGACCACATGTTTCTTGTTTGACCGGAAAAGGGGGAGAAAGTAAAAATGAGTTGATTGATACACAAGGCATTAGTGGTTAACCGAGAGCTAATGAGGGAAAAAGAACAACAATGAGCTCAGATGTAACCGTTTAAATGGGCCGTTTAAAATTTCAACTTTGAAGTAACACCTCTGCACAATTACCTTGCGGTTTAAGAGTCTGTTTGAAATGTGCTCAACAGTATCAAGTTTTTGTACCCGAGTGATTGAATCAAACCCACCTCACCCACAAACAATTTTATGGAGGTAAAAACGTGTTCAGAAAGGCCAAAATGTGCAGAACACAACTCTATGGTCTTCCCTCATGCATAAAAACCCAACCACGGACAGAGAGAGCTGCGGCCTGGCGGTTGGTAGTGGGACTCTCCTGTGGCCAGCCAATAAATCCTACAAAATAAAAGAGTCTCTTACTTTTTCAACCATTTTTCCCCCCTCATCCCAGGTGTTAGATGATGGATGATGAGGTCAGGGAGGCATGGATCACATGGCAAGGATCAGAGAGGAGCTGGGCAGGAGACATGTTGAATCCATCTAGTCGAAATCAGCCCCATGTGTCCTCCAGAGCCCTGTTATCCTATAAATGAACTTTATTGAGGCAACAAAGTGCAGGGACCTCTGCAAAAACATTAAAGGGGTGAGCGGAGGTGACCGATCCAGGGTGGCTAAAGAGAAAAGATGAGATTTTTCCCATGAGATTCTTTTAAAGATACTAATACAGAAAGCACCGCCAGCAAAACCTAAGGGAGACCCAGGGTGAAAGAGACCAAAACGGGATGTTGCGCACATCTGCATTTGTTAAAAAGTATTAAAAGGAAAGATAAAAAAAACCCTTCAGATCCAGATACCAAACCAAAAAAGGACAGAAAAAAAAAAATAGATAAAAAAGGAGCAAATCATTTATGACATGTGGACGGCTCTGCAGTAAAAGCAAGCTTGAATCATGACACAGAGACTACCGAGTGAACAACTAACCACATTAAAAGCAACCCCCACCCTCACCCCCCACCTACCTACCAGGGGGCCGGCTAAACATCAGGGTTACACTGTGATCCTTATGGACATGATTAATGGTAGAGAGAAAGGGAAAGAGAGGGGAGTGATGGGAGGATGTCTGGTTCTGCTTATGGTCCTGGAAATGAGATTAAAGGAAAAGCTCCAAACAGATTGAATTGTATTTGCCATAATTGCTGAGAACAGCTTATGCAGGGCAGGCCACAAATAACACACTCATAAAAACTATACACTGCTGAGGAAGGGGGAGAGTCATTTAAGCAATCAAATACACAAAAATGTGAAATTAATTAGGTGTGGGATGAGTTTAGAGCTTAAGAAAATTACCTTCTTGCATAAGTGACTGAGACTACGTAAAATGCCATAGACTAAAGCACACTGTAGAAGGGGAAAACAAAATTGATTCTGTTGGAGTGTTACATTTTTACTCTGACCTTAATTTAATTAGAACAAAAAAACTATGACCTTTATGAGAAGAATAAAAAAAGTATTTTCTTTGTCTTTGTAAATCTAATTTTAAAGGTATGTTAAACACTAAGGTACAAATCAATGCAAACCACATGAGGAAAAAAGCTCTCAATCTTGATCTGATTGGATTTAAAGTAACAACATGTGCGTTCACTTCAAGGAGAGCGAGAGGGGCTGGAAAGGCCTGCCAACGGCAAAGTTCACCTCATGACACTATGAGGCTGCTTGAATTAATCTTTTTCATTTGCACAGAGACAGTTTAGTCTAAAAGAGGCACTTTTATTGATGTTAGACTCAAAATTCAGCAAAAAAAAAAAAAAAAAAAAAAAAATATCCATGAAGGAAATGCACAGACTAACTGAGAACCAAAAGAGCAGTTAGAATGTATTACTAATAAATAATGAAACCATTACAATTAGTCATTCCCGACAAAGAGAACCAACAGTTCATCAGTTAATTAACATCAGTTAATTCCAATCAAACCAAACGGCACTACAGTGGTGTTTTGAAAATAAATCAAATGAATACTGAAAAGCCATGATTGGGAACTGTAATTAATTTTAGAATATCTGATTGGAAACTCAAAGGATAATTTGACTTAAAAATGACAGTTTAGAAGAAGAAAAAAAAATCCTCAGAATATAAAGCAAGTCGACAGTCACGTTCTGAAACCTGAGCAGATTATTGTGCCTTTCCATTCCAGTCCTGCTGAATTCTGTAATAGTTACCACAAACATGGTGTTCATTAACCAAAAGTAGTACAAAGCTATGTAAAAGGGGATATATCAGATTTGGAAAGCATCAAAAGGGAGAATTCCTAAATGCATCACATTCTCCTACACAAAAGCACACATCAAACTTGGCCAGCCAAGTCACACCACTAGATGGCGATATCAGCCAGGATACAGGAACATGAAGGATACAGGGTTATGAAAGTCCTCAGTGTTAAATTCTTTGCTCATTGGATCATCCATGAGATGTGGTCTGCTGTTATCAAGCAATTTTACATAAACACCTTATTAAAGAACTACTCCAATAGACACTCACTGACTCAAATACATCACGCATTTGAAACATATGATCCAGTGTATGGACATACGCCCGGTTAAAACTGCAAAAGATACGTGTAAGATGAAGCAGCAATGTGCTCGGATCTTTCATGATATTCTACTATAACAATTTTGGGACCCTCCAAACAAGTGTACCAATGATTTTTAGTGTGGTGGTACTCTACTGTTACTGTACACCGTATGAGCATAAGCTTACATGTGATAAAATATTTATATTATTACTGTGCAGGATATTAAACCAATATGCCATTGGCATTTCATAAAACACAGACGGCCCAGGAAGTGCCTCTGTGCCCACCACTCCACTAAAGCCTTAAAGCTAATTTCCCTAGAGTTGAAAGATCTATTTCCCCAAACCAGATCATTACTATAACCATTGCAGAGGACACGGTAATGCTGGTCTGAAACAGCATGTTAAAATCTCTCTAAAGGGCTGCGTCCCTTATTAATGCACCACACGTAGCTTAGACCGAGGCTAAAAGCACGGAGGGAGGGAATGTTCTTCTTTAAACTGTAGTTAGGTTATTTCAACATGAAATAAGGAGGTACATGAGACTCAATCACTGAGTGTGCAGTTTACATCTTCACAACATCCTGTACTTCTCATTGACTCTATAGCATGTAGCAATAACATACATAGATAAGTCAATATGCTTAATTATGATTAAATAATTATCCATTGCCTCTCATGTTTATGATTTATGAGTTTTTTTTTTTTTGATGAGTTTAGCTATCCCTAGTGCTATATATAGTACTGTCACTAGGCAAATCCATATTACAGATACTATATTTCATACAGTTAGAACGTACAAAACTGAACCTAATCAAAACATATCAAACATTACAAAACTTGACTTTCTGGGTAAAGTGCTTCAGAGCAGTATACAACTGCACTGAGCTGAATGGGAGGTTACTGTGTGAATGATGAATTGGAGTCAGTGTGGTCTCGGTGTGTTGACCTCAACACACAAAACCTTGTCTCATTCGAATGATCTGCAGTAAGGCAGCTTGAACATCTTCATCCATGTGACCCTGAAAGAAAACAAGTCATGGGTGTTCAGTCAGGATAAATGCATCTTCAGAATTGCATCCAGAAATTTCTATGCAACCACATGTTATGACCTGTGCACTGTACACAAAAGACCATGCGCTATAATATACAGAGGAGGTATGAATGGCCTTGTTATGGGAGCAAAATATAAGGAAATGCTACTGCAAAAGAAAAGAAACCTTCACAATCAACACACATTCATATACAATTACCTGTGCTGCACTGAGAAGATGAGTTCGATAAATTGAAACAACTTCTCTATGTTGCCTCTCAGCGTCCTGTTTAGAAAGAAAAAGAAAGGGCATATCAGGCAGTGCTTTATATAATAAGATCTTGCAAGGTTAGATGGTCAATGTGTTCATAAAAGCAATGCACCCTCAGAAACACAAAATACTAAGCAACTGAACACACACATAACATGAAAGTAAAGGAGGGGGGCTGGGGCACATTGGATTCATCTAAACATACATCAGGGGTCGGAAACCTACGGAGCCCCCCTAGTCCCACTTTGGCAAAAAAAAATTAATTATAACTATCTTGTGGCCTCAAGATAGTAACTCGTGGCCTTAAGATAGTAACTCGTGGCCTCAAGATACTAACTCGTGGCCACAAGATACTAACTCGTGGCCACAAGATACTAACTCGTGGCCTCAAGATAGTAACTCGTGGCCTCAAGATACTAACTCGTGGCCACAAGATAGTATCTCGTGGCCTCAAGATAGTAACTCGTGGCCTCAAGATAGTAACTTATCTTGAGGCCACGAGATAGTATCTTGAGGCCACGAGTTACTATCTTGAGGCCACGAGTTACTATCTTGAGGCCACGAGTTAGTATCTTGAGGCCACGAGTTACTATCTTGAGGCCACGAGTTACTATCTTGAGGCCACGAGTTAGTATCTTGAGGCCACGAGTTACTATCTTGAGGCCACGAGTTACTATCTTGAGGCCACGAGTTACTATCTTGAGGCCACGAGTTACTATCTTGAGGCCACGAGTTAGTATCTTGAGGCCACGAGTTAGTATCTTGAGGCCACGAGTTACTATCTTGAGGCCACGAGTTACTATCTTGAGGCCACGAGTTAGTATCGTGTGGCCACGAGTTAGTATCTTGAGGCCACGAGTTAGTATCTTGAGGCCACAAGATAGTTATAGTTAATTTTTTTTCCCAAAGTGGGACTAGGGGGGCTCCGTAGAAACCTTTTTTTCGTTATTTTTCTGTATTTTTTGTTAATGCATTTTGTAAATGCATTAATGCAATTTTTTTCTTGCATTTCAGAGCCAATGCAATAACTATTACATTATTTAGGTCCATAGCCAACTCAATAGAGATGAGTATATATATATATATATATATATATATATATATATATATATATATATACAGTATAGGTCTCCAACTCAAGCTGATTGGATAGACATGTTGATTACAACATTGTCTGTTGAGATACTTCAGACAGACGGCAAAATGCAATGTTTGCAAAGCCGTAAACAGAGAGGTGGAAGCTCCCTCGCATCGGTCAACACAACAAACGCATTCAAACATTTAAAAAAGAACCACATTAAAGAGGAGGAGGATTTTTTAGCCAGGGGGCAGAAAGACAACGAGAGCCGTTTTATTGCTAGAGAGAGTGCCTCAAGATAGTAACTCGTGGCCTCAAGATAGTAACTCGTGGCCTCAAGATACTAACTCGTGGCCTCAAGATACTAACTCGTGGCCTCAAGATACTAACTCGTGGTCTCAAGATAAATTCAGGTATCGGGATCGGATAGGAAGTGAAAAAATGTGATTCAGTGCATCCCTAGGCCACTTCTATTATTAATTGCTATGAGGAAGAGAGTTTCAATCAGTATAACAAAAAGTGTTTATGCAAAGCATTGCCTACCCAAGGCTTTAAGTAAAAGGAGATCATTAAATTCAGTATAACACCAAATTTTGGAAGATGACTTAATAATATAATCCAATTACAGCTGAAATAACCCGAGGGAGAAAGAAATCGGTCCCTCAGTCCATTCTATCACTAACAGTTTTTTTTTTTTAAATATTATGATTATGATTTATATTATATTTGTATTACATACACAAGTCAGTTAGTAAGTGGGTGTATTTTTAAGTCCAAGGTGATAGAATGTAATATTTGAGGGCAAACTAATCCATCTGTATGTGTATACGAACAGAGCTACTCACAGCCAGCTGCTGCTGGAGGCTCTTGACCTGGGCTTGGAGTGTGTCAATGTGTTGAGTCTGTCTCTTATTGGGAGTGTTGCCAGCATAAGCCAGCTGGGATAAGCCATTCAGAGCCTGTTTCAGCCTTTCAACATCTGCCAACAGTTCTGTGATCTGAAACAGAGAACGCCTTGCTTTATAATCAGACAAAATATCAGGCACTTATCGAAAAAAAAAAAACCCCACTTAATTTATAACAAACGAGTATAACCTTCTTACCCTTTTGTCTTTAAGCTCAGTCTGCTCTGAGGACGCTTGAATCCTCTTCTGTAGTTCTCCAATGGTGCGGAGCGATTCCTCATATCTCTCTTTCAGATCTCTGATCTCCTTCTCAATGGAGGCACTTTTTATCTGCAGGGCCTCGGTTTCAGCTCTCGCCCTCTTTTCACACTCCCTGGCCTGGGTTGTTTCCCTGTACAGATCCTCATATTGCTCATCCAGTCCTGACAGCCGGTGGCCAAGTTCACACACTTTCTCCTCAAGCTTTTGCTTTTCAGCTCTGAGCTCGGTCACCTGTTCTTCATAGCTGCGGAGGTCATCGAGAGTGTGTGTGGCTCTGAGGAGCTCAGTCTGAAGAGTGGCAACATCTTCAGCCCTCTGCGCGCTGGTTTCTTCCTCGTCCTGCAGTGCCAAGCGAAGCTCGTTGACCTCACGCTCAAGAGCCTCTTTAACCTGGCTGTACTGGATCTCCTCACAGCTCTGACTCTGGAGTTGTTTCTCTAGTTCATGAACACGCTGGACTTCCAGTTTCTGAGCTTCCTGTAAGCACTTGCACTCCTTTTGCGCCTCCTGCAGGCTCCCACTCAGAGACCTCTGCATGGCCTCAAACTGATCCAGATGGATATACTCACTGTTCAGTTTCTTCAGGAGACTCTGGATCTCAGAGTTGCACAAGGCGTTTTGCTCCTCTAGTTCAGCTCTCTGGATCGTAACCTCTTTATATTGCTGCTCCAGCTCCACCAACTTTAGACTCAGCTCCTCCCCCTGGCTCTTGCAGCGGTCCTCCACTTCTTTGTACTTCTCACGGGACACAAGCCCCATCTGAAGTTTTTGCTGCAGAGCCGCCATCTCTTCTTTCAATTTTTCATTCTCTACCCTTTGGCTTTCCCCTTTGGTCTTTTCGTCATTGTACATCCCCTGCATTTCAGCAAGTTTATCTGCTAAGTCCTTCAAAGTGGTGTTGAAATGCATCTCTTTTTCCTCCATAGCAGTCAATGGCACAAACTTCAACTGCAATGCCTCTTGAATAGTATCCAACTCTTTCTTCTGTGCTTCGATTTCCTCGTGTAGTTTTGATGCGCTCTCTTGGGCACACTGGTACTTTGAGTAGGCATCTCTACCTCGTCCCTCTGCTTCCGATAACGCTTTGCTCATTGTGCTTTTGAATATCTCATGTTCCACAAGGCTGATATAGTCTTTTGCTATCTTGGCCTGCACATTCTCAAACTCTTCTTTCAACTTAGCATTTCCTTCTTTCGCCTTCTGTAACTCCTCATCCCGAAGTCTACAATAACCCTCCAACTTTGCGATTTCAATCTTAGCTTTCTCCAAAGCCTCATCTAATACCATCTGCACACTCTCATACTCCTTCTTTGTGACAAACTCAATGTCAAAGTTCTGCTTCATTGTTGCTTTTTCAGCTGCCAAAATCTCAATTTCATTGACTTTCTCCTGGTACTGATCTTGAAGGCTATTAAGATCTCCTTCCAGATCGGTGTTGCGTTCTGTGAGTGCAGCTATCTCACTCTCATAACGTTCACAGGGGATGTACGTGCTCTTCAGGTTGGTAATGTTCTCACATAGAGAGGCCTTCTCCTCCTGCAGCCTCTGTAGCTTCTCCTCAGCGTGCTTTCTCCCCTCCGTCTCCTCTGTTAACCTAATTCTTAACTCCTCCACAGCGAGTCCCATAGACCTCTTCACCTCCTCATGGTTTTCTAAGGTCACAAACTTGGTCTTCAGATTGTTGCTGAGTTCCTGCAGCTCCTCTCTGAGCAGTTCTCTCTCATCTTCACCCTCCTCCACTTCACATATTAATGACTGACACTTTACAGTGACATCAGCAAGTTTCTTCTTCAGGGTTGAGCTTTGTTCCTCAAAAGTAGCCCGGACTCGCTCATGCTCTTGCAAGGAGACAGTTTGTCGGTCGTCCATCACACGGTGGAGCTCTGCCACTTCCTCCAGCACACGGTCATAATCTTCCCTTAACTCAGCCAACTGGAGCTCCTTCTCATCCACAGCATTGGTGAAGAGATTCTTCATGTTGTCAAACTTCTCTCCGGGAACCATTGACGTCAACTTGACCTCTGTAGTCTTCACTTGACCCTCCATGTTCAAGAGCGTCTCCTCCATGACTTTATGGTCCTCTTGCATTGCGCTCAGCTCTGCAGTGAGCCTCTCAACCTCCACAGCCAGAAGTCCTTCACTTTTTTTATACTCCTCCAATGCTTTCTCACTCTGCTTCAAATGGTTCCTGACACGTCCAACCTCGGTAGAAGCTCCCTCGTATTTTGCCTTCATGTCATTCAGCTGTGCTTTGAGGTCATCAACAACTTGGTTATTGAGATGATCCTTTACTGCCACCACATGAGCCTGAAGCTGTTTTACCTTTGTCTCAGAGTCTATCATTCGCTTCTGCACATCTCCCATGGCTTCCTCAAGCTCACGTACCTGCTGGTCCGACTCACGCTTGATGGCCTCGCACTTCCTGGTCAGCTCCTCGCATTCCTGGGACCTGCACGCTAGAGCTTTTTGGAGGCGGCAAACCTCCTCTTGTGCAGCCTCTTGCTGTCGGCGGACACATTCAAGCTCTTGTCGAAGTGACTCAGGATCACCAGGCATCGGCCGAGACAGCTCCAGGGGTCGAGCCAGAGATTGAGATGGTCCTATAGACGGCAAGATCTGAATTCAAACACAAGCGGGCATTAATTATTATGCACAAAAACATTCTGTCAGAATACTTAGTGGATACTAATTAAGCTTAATGGGAAAATACTGGAAAGAGCCTAATTTTATTTTAAACAGCTTTCTTTCTCCTCATGGTCTGTAAAAATCCATGGCCGTCATTCTGTTGAACAGAAGATTTGATGGCTCCCATATTTTCTCTCACATGGGTTCACAACAAGGGCTTAAAACTTTCAAAGAAAACTTTATCTAGGCCACTTCCCAAGTCAAACATCTGATCCTACTTTAGCAGGTGCACATTTTCATATTTTTTTAAATGTGTAGTGACCTCTAACGTAGGTGAGAGTAAAGTAGTCTCGGGTGCTATGTGACAACAAAATTGCATCCACCACATCTGCCCAAAAGCTGAACCCATGTATATTATATCCCTTCAGAAAATAGACCAAATAAATCATAAACCCGTCTGACGCTGCAGGCTATGGAGGTTCTGAAATGAAATGAGAGAGAGCAACTTATCTGACTTCCTCTCCTAAGCTCAACACAGCTGACATAGACAGCCTGCTCGCTGCATTAGTGAATACAAGTAAAATTTCAAACCTTGTGCGTGCTGAGCAAACCTTTGGAATTATTTCTTAAATTTTGCATTTAAGCATTTGCACTTGTAGTCTGATGTTGTTGTTGTTGGACTTCATGAGGGAATCAGACAAATAAATATCTGTGTATGTACACTGAACTGACTAGTTCCTGAGTATTAACCCAAATACATACGGAGTAAAACATTAAACTGCATTTACGCACAGTGTAACCATTTTGTAGACCCGAATGTTACAGATTGTTATTTCTTTCTGTTATTTTTTTATTATTATACTATTTCATTAGTAATTACTTAACAGTGCCCATGCCATGGTAGTATGTTTCATTCACAGTGTTACCCTCTTTCTTAATATCTCTTAAGATATAATTACTTATGGACAATGTTTGATATACACACACATTTTATTACCAATATATAGGGATTGGAATATTGGAACAAGGTGAGCAATATTAAATCACAGTAGTTTCAGTAAAAAGTCCTTTGTGTGTTTAATTGTTTGTTTTGGAGTTGGTTCACACCAAGTAAATGATATATTAGTTATATAAATAGCTACTATATAATTTAATATAAAAATAAATTTTTGGTATTTATGCTGATTAAGAAGAATTTTAAAGAAATTTAAATTCACCTGAGCAGAGTCCAAGCTGTGTGACTGTCGAACTAGTACATTGTCTTTTCCTGCAGAAAATAAGAACCCAAAATAAAAACCTCGATGTGACTGTACTTGTGAAATGTGACATTTTAGACATCCCTACAATTAACAACTTCAAATTCAGCACAGTTTATATTGAAATCTCTAACATCAAAGTCATACTGTAATTAATCACAGTCTAAAGACCCAGATTTTAAAAGACAAAATCACCTTTGATCACGGACTGGCCAGGGTAATCACCCTGTAAAATAAAAACATGAAGATTTGTTCATCATTTCATCACTTTAATCATGAGTTTCTGGATCTGGAGTTAACAAGCAGCAGCCCTTGATGAGCATCTTGCAAAGATTTTCACTGACCAAATGGCTCCGCTGCTGGACTCTCACAGTCTCTATGGCCCGGGCTCCTTCTTCCTTCTCTTTGGCAGAAAGTAAAAGCTTCAGCTGCTCTCTCTAGTGGAAAAAAAAAACAGATACACATACATATTCAATAGCAACTGGCATACAACCTTAAAAAAACCCAACAAACCATTAAAACTATGATAGGATAATCAGCCCTGAAAACTCAGAGGAGGAGAAAAAGGTGACATGGTTACGAACTATATTGTTGTTGGGTGGTCATGAGGCATGAGAAATTTTTGTGATTTTAAGATGTAAACAAAGACTTCAGGTGCACTCTGACAAAAAAAGGGAAAAAGACAACATTTGCACATGAAAAAAAAAAAATTTATTGACACTAGGGCTGGGCATTGACAAAAATGTCACAATTGGATTCAAATTTGATAATCTTTATAATGAACTTTGCTTGATAGGCCCCAAATTAGTCAATATTGAAACACAGTACATGGCTAATTACCTCAAATATATATCACTCATCTAATGCTGTAAACTATACAGGAAACTGCAGTTGGTACATCATTATAGTATTAAGGGTTAAAATTAATTGATTGGTAGGCTACGTACATTTAAATTACACAAAGTTTTTATAGTAGCGTTATAATATATTTTTAATGACAATTGTGTTTCTACTAATTTTTTTTAACTATAAATATTTAAAATGTTGTTCTAAAACATATTCAAACATATTTTGATTCAAATAGCGAATTTCTAATACTAAGACTAATTTGCAGGAGTAGATGATTAAGGAATGATCTTTTTTTTTAAAAGAACAGACAATGACACTAGGACAGAAGAAAGTCTCAACCAGGGCAACACATACCTCCTTGTGAATGTCCTCCACTGTTGACTTTTCCTGAAAAAGGAAAGGAAAGAGAGACAAAGAAAACATGCATTACAAAAGATGTCTGCAAAATAACTGTAATATAAATACAAAACTGCCTGCTCAGATAAATACAGAAGAGTATTTTGGCTTCAATGCTGAAAACACATGTGTAAGGCACAGACTTGCAAATAAATTGTCCAATTATGAAAAAACTGAAGAAACACCTGGCTGAGTTGTTGCTGAAGCATGTTGACCTTGTCAAGCAGCGTCCTCTGTTCCTGGTGGAACTTCTTTAGAGATTCCTGTTGGCTCTCATTCTTTTTCTCCAGGTCCTTGAAAACACATGTACATAATTCACAGTCATTAAATGTAGTCATTTGTAATAAATGTACAGTTCATTTGTAATAAATGTACAGTTTGCAATACAAAAAATGTCTAGGATCGGTGTCTTACAACCCTAAAAATGCGGGTTCAAGAATATGTAAATGGAACACACAGGTAAAACTCGAAAAATTTGAATCTCGTGCATAAGTTCATATATTTCAGAATTTTAACTTAAAAGGTGAAACTAATATATCATATAGACTCATAACATGCAAAGTGAGATATTTCAAGCCTTTATTTGTTAAAAATTTGGTGATTGTGGCTTATAGCTTATGAAAACCTTTTCACAATATTAGAATTTTGATTTGGGGGGTTTCATAAGCTGCAAGCCATAATCATCAATTATAACAAATAAAGGCTTGAAATACTGTAGCTCACTTTGCATGTAATGAGTCTATATGATATATTAGTTTCACCTTTTAAGTTAAAATGCTGAAATAAATGAACTTTTGCAGGATATTCTAATTTTTTGAGTTTCACCTGTAATAAGACAAAGTCCTGGTCTAACAAATAACATCAAAAGTATGAACAATTTACTGGCAACAGTCATGGAGTTGAATGGCCCTCACCTGTATGATCTTCTCATGGTTAGAGGTTTCAGAGACCATCTCCACAGACTGCAACTGACACAGACAGAAAATAAAATGATAAATCCAACAAAAAATGGTCAGGTATAATATATAATACATATAATTTCTCTATTTTTCCTTGGAAAATATATATATTTGTACATCAGTGGAAAGGTTAGGAGTATGAGAAATGCTACGAACAACAATAAAATGTTGTATTGTTAAATTTATTGTCCTAACAGATGGGCTGATGTTTTTTTCTATACACTAGAGAAAACTATTATTCAGATGCAAAACTGTTCTATTGGCTGTGGGGCAGAAATACAGTAGCTGCTCCTAATACATTTCTGACAAATCCCAATGTTAGAAACGAGCTGTAAATTATTACTACCATAATCCCTGATAATTATTACAGCTTTTTTTGCAGCACATTTAAAGGCATTTTTCAAATTATGACTGTTTAGTACATAAAAAGTGGCTGAATTATAAAAATGACTGGATGTGGTTTTAGGGAAAAAATTATTTTGCCTTACTTTCATCGAACACTGGCTGGCAGTATTGTGTAAAAATTGCTTCAGCACTGCAGCCGCTAATGCAGGTGGGGTCATATTAGTGCATCAAGACATTGAGATTTGGCATGTGATAAGGAATTATATTAGCCTGAAATAGTTACTTTCCAATTAATATGATTGATGCACAAGTGCTAAAATGACACAAAGAGAAACAAAGAGCCTCTCTGCTCATAAATCATAAATCCCATTTATGTGTAATTCCAGTTTCACTGCTCTAGACGGCTTCAGTGAAATTACAATGAGAATGAAGGCTGCCTTTCTCTGTGCAGTGTGTATGGTGGAAATACTGTATATCAGTCCATTTGTGAGTCAGTGATAAAACTGAGACACCAACAAAAGTTAATCAGCAAGGGCAAAAACAGTTTTAACCTTGTGTGATTGAGTACAATGTGTAAAGTTTTTTTTTTTTTGTTTAAACTCATCCACAGGGTGATGCTCAGAATAAAACAAAGGTGAACATGCTGTGTATACCTGTCTCTTTTTCTGTTCCATCTTGGCAGCTTCTTTTGCTGTGAATACAAATGAGTAATCATTAATTAGCAATTCATGGACCAACTGAAATAAAAATCAAGTAAAATAAAAATAAATAGTAGTGCACAGGAGGAGGATTGAGATGTTTCCCCCCCTTCATGATATGGATGAGTAGCTTTTTCTTTCATTTTGGAGGCTGAAAAGACACTGCTCTACACCCAGAAAGTGTGCGTCAAAAGCTCTTGGAGCTTTGATCTCTATAAACGTAATATATGATAAAGGCCTATTCACATCAAAAATGATGCAACAAAGTAATGTGAACTGCAGGGGGGAGAAGAATTTAAAAACCTCACAAAAAAAAAAAAACAGATTACACCAAGAATGGGAGAAATTTTCATCAGCCTCTGTAAAAAGTTTCAAATGTGTTTGAGAAATCATAGAACTAGAACTACCAAGGCAGTCATTTTGACCCTTTTTAAACTTTGTTAAAATAAAATCAATGCGGTTGAAGGACTCTGACTTTTTCTAAATATGTATTCAATGTTATTTTATTTAAAAAAAATAAAAAATCACAACACACAAAACAGTTCTGTCTATTTCTACCTAGAATGGCCATGGCGGTCATTTTGACTGCACGCATTATAGATATCATAAGTCCGCTACATTTCCCGCCTTACAAACAGGGCTTTACTAAATGGTATGAAGCTTTGATGCTTCCTAACTTTTTTGTATGTCTATTCAAATGGTGAAAAAAATATTTTTGACGCAAAACTTTCCTCACGGGAGGCAGCACCTGTCGAGGCAATCTTTATTTTGTGCTTGTTCTGAGCCCGATGACGTTATAACATGACGACAGGAATTAAAAGCGTCATTGGAAAACTTCAATGTCAAATGTAGATTGTGAAATGATAAAAATGACGTTCAGTACGGCCATATGACGGTCAAAGTATGAACGGTCAGAATAAACGCTATGGTTGTTCTAGTGTTACATTAAATGGATAATGGAATGGAACCACGGAAGTAATGAGGTGATGTTACAATGATAACTGGTCTACTGTTCAAATATCATCAGAAATCGCTTGCTATTTCACTTCTTTTCGCTCTGTTCGTTTATTGCCATTATGGCTATTTGGAGTGCATATTCTGGACACATCACCCAAAAGGTTATTGGTCTGTAAATCTACAGTGAAGGAACACATTATAAACCTTTTTGTGCTTTCTTTCTCATTTACATCACAGACTGTTTTGATGCGACAATAACTAATAGAAATAACAAAATACAAAAACAATTATACGTTCAATCAAACTTTACAATCTTTGTTTGGACACAGTTAACACATGTTCGTTCTATGTCTTTGGCTGGTGAATCTTGTTATTCATGCATTTACCAACATTTTCCATTTCAGTTTGTGTCAAGTTAGTAATTTTGAATAGTGTTGGGGCAATTTTACATTTTAAATCCCTTCAATTTAAGATTTTAAGCACTGCTCTACAGTGCTGCTCATATATGGGAGAGCGATTTCATAAAAACAATTCATAAAAAGCATGACAAAACCTTTTGTGGCACTGTCCAGGTAACTCTTGACAAGAGAGACAAGCTCCTGGTTTTTGCTGAGTCTAGAATAGTGATAACTGTCATGGCCGAATCCATCCACAGCAGTGACATCAGCTCCATGTTTCAACAAAACGTCCACAGCATCCTTACATGCATATTCACAGCCCAGAATTAACGCTGTTCTGAGTGAAAAAAAGACACAAACACATCTTTAATAGGACTGACAATACATCAAAATAGTAAAATTGCACCTGTGATTTCTCTAAATTAAGACAAGAACACAAAAACATTTTAAATGTCCCTTTACCCACTTTGTTGTCAACACAAAAGTAAGCCATTTCCTGTGAACGCACAATTTAATTAGCCGCCATGGGTAAATAACAAGATGCCATTAATAGTAAAACTGCTTGTGCTACAAACCAATGTATTTATGATTATGATAATAAATTAAAATAATATGATACAAAAAAGTGGCATGAAATAACTGGTAGCGGCTGACACAAGAAGCCTTGCACATTCATTTTAAAAAATGAATCCAATGCGACTTTTTTTTTACATTCTAATCAGTTCTTGCAACACATTCTTGCTTTCCCTGGGAATCAAACCCATGACCTAGGCATTGCAAAAGCCAATGTTCTACTGTTTAAGCAACAGAAAAGCTATCTAACCCCAAAACTAAGTTAGATAAAGATAAAGAGAAGTCAGAGAATACAATATCTGAATAAAGCATGCATGGCAAGAAAAACAAGAAAAGAGATAAATGAATGTGATATTTACTTATTCTGTTTGTCTCTGACCGTGATGTCACTTCCTCGTTCTAACAGGAGCTGACAGATGTGTGGATGACACATTTGAGTGGCAAGCACTAATGGGGTATGACCATCCTACAAACACACACACATAGAAGTGAAAATTTGCATAAACTCAAAAAGAAAAGACTAATCAGAGAGAACATTTGAGAATAAAGTACATACAAGGGAAAATAAATACAGAACATTTGTCCAGGAAAAAATAAGTTAATATAAAAACGTTATCAGTATAAATATCCCACACGCCACATATTAACTCACAAAGTCGGTGGCATTAACTGATGCCCCGCTGTCACAGAGCAGCTTCACACTGGAGGAGCAGCCGGCCATAACTGGAAAGACAAACAATCATAATATTCCTCCTAACCATTTCCCCCCAAGCATCTGAATGAGATTCAGTAGACTCGGCTGAGATCACACTCAAAAATATTAATAAAAAAAAAGAATAAATAATCCAAACCCTCCACAGGGCAAGAGCTCTAAATCTTACATGAAAGCCTTCTGAGGAAAGGAAAATAATTCCATGAACTACATCTTATTGATTACGACTGGTTCTGCCTCAAATAATCCCTTTCAAACGTTCATCCACTACCCCTTGCCTCCATCCTCTGATTCAACGCAAGGAAAGTGGAAGGAGTGGGAAACCCCCAAATCAGGTTGAATAGCGAGGACTACAGAGTTCAATTCCAACAAAACCTCAAAATGTACAAAGCTTTTTGCTTACCAGCATCATGCAAGGCTGTCCTTCCCTGCAGGTCCACATTTCCCACAGGGCAATTATGCTGAAACACAAAAACACTGGTCACAGGCTGTCAGGCCATTCAACACTTTATGGCTAGTATGGCTTTAAAAGGTCAGAGGATGAGTCTAAACTCTCAAAAACATCCCTGATGACTGATTTCTTTTAAAATATGAACACAAAAACAAAAAATGGACCAGAAAGACACAGGTGCGTAAGACTCTAGTCTAGTGTGAATCTTTAAAATGATTCAGGACCCAAGAACTGAAACCAGGTCAAGCAAATGAGACAGTTGCTAAGATACTGGCCTCAGTGATCTGTATCCCACCACTCTCTGTGCCCTCATTTCTAAAATCTTTTTTATTCTCCAAATTGCACTCTCTGTCCTACTCTCTCAAGCCCAATACTTTCTGTACTGCTTTTTGCAACCTCTAACAAAACATCTCCTCTGACTTCAGTCACTATAAAAACCCCTTATACTATAGCAACAGCCTCCAAAACCAGTAGCAAGGTCACATGGTCCTGCTGGCTAACTGTGTCCTGGGTAACTCTATCTGATGGGCTCTAGGAGCCAGGCTCAGATATCACATGATGACGGCATTAGAAATATAGACTGCAGGTTACAGTATGGTCAGCCTGTCAACACTGCAGACACCCGGAAAATACTCTCATCCAGCCACTCAATCTTGTCTGCATAAGCATTACGCAGCCAGAACACTGGCAGAGCATTATGGTGGATTACTCTTCACATTAGCTGGCAGCTAAATGTGTCGGAGCAGTGATTTCAAAATCAAGAGTTACACAAACTTTTTTTATATTAAGATTCATTTTTAAATAATTAGTCTAGACAGACTTTTCTAATTTTGCTCCCTGTGGTACAAGTAATTAACACCAACAAATCACTGCAACAAAAGCTGTTGTTGGAGTCATCAACAAGCAAGTGATAGGAATCATTTCCTATCTTAATTATCTTGAGTTTTACCCTCTTGCAGAACGTGTTTGTGGATTAATTGATTCAAATTAAACCGTATCTGTAAACAAGCTCTGCCAAATTTGCCTTCAAACAGCGTAATTGTCTCATAATCACAATGTCAGGTTCAGCATTATGCAATTGCATTCAGGTCATCAGTTTATTAGTTTGTGAAATAAGCACTGACTTTGTTTATGAGCATGTGGGCTGGAGGCTTACCAATACCAATAAAGGTTTGGAGACTTTTTGCTGCCTTTCCATTGACACACAGGTGAACATACAATACAGCACTGTTTTTGTATGTAGAATACATACAATACAGTTCAAAAGTTAAAATTTGAATAGCAGTTTTTTTTTAAATAAATTAACATTTTTTATTTTGCAAGGATGCATTTAATTAAAAAAATACAAAAAATATATATTATGGTTTCCACAAAAAAAATTAAGCAGCACAGCTGTTTTTAACATTGATAACAAATGTAAAATTGGCATTTTAGAAAGATATCTGAAGGATCATGTGACACTGAAGACTGGAGTAATGATGCTGACAGTTCAGCTTTGTATCACAGAAATAAATATTTTAAAACATATTCGAATAAAATATGTTATGATTCAACATACTGCTACCTGTATGTAAAAATTGTATTGTTTGCTTTACTTTTCAGCTCTGTATCTCAAAAGGTACAGCTTTAACTGCACTGAATAATATAGTTTTTTGAAAGTGCTTGAATTTCAGGGAATGATATGAGTCATTGTAAATTGTGCAAATACATAATTATAAAAATTGTGAGGAGAAATATTGACAATATAGTGAGAAATATAACCGGGACACATTGATAAATGTTTGTATTGGCAAAGCCCTACAATAGAGACTGCAAATAATCATTTCTGAAGTTCATATCACAGTCCTCAGAAAACCTCACTTTAAAAATGAGATTCAATATTTTTCCTCCACATCAAAAAGAGGATACAATACAGCAGAAATTGTCTGGCTTCAAAAAAAAAAAAAAAAAAGCACACAAATACATTTTAGTTTCTATGCTCTACGTTCAACTGTGTTACCTGGAGTAGTTTCTGCACGCACAATGACTGGGCATTTCTGGCGGCCAGGTGTAAGGCATTTTTTCCTACAGGAACAAAACAGCAAATCAATAGGAGCCATTAGGTAACAAAAGTGTTTCAGATGAACCAATCTTAACTGCTTGTATAGACAAATAACAACAGTGAGAGTATAACAAAAAACAATAAAAAATATAGCTGCAAGCAGCCATTACCGGGGCCAAGCGCAAGAAGCGGCAACATATGCCAAAATGGCAAGGAGTGGCAGACCAACTGCAGCAAGGAGCAATTAAGGGCATTTTGAGAGAACTTTGGGCAAATGGCTAAGAAAATCACATAAACATTAACTTATAAGATGATTTAATGGGTTATCACTTTCGAACAATAGGTGGCGCAGTTACGAAATAGATGTGATGTGGTCAGAGTGAGGTGAAAATGACACATGCAAAGTTTGGTGTCAAAATGTGAAGGCATTGCAGAGATAAAGCCTAAATAGTAATTTTGGCAGCATGCCTGAACTTTGATGCTGTGGTATACGAAAACGGTTTTGTCTATCATCGTGCAATTCATAACTTTTAGTCGGCACCGTCTGGAGATGATACGATTCAATTTTCGTGAAAATCGGACAAACGGTCTAGGAGGAGTTCGAAAAAGAAGGTTTTTCAAAGAAATAAAGACGGCGGACAGGAGGTTTGGCTGATTATGGCAAACCTGATATCTATGTTTTCAGCATAACCCAAGGAATCTATTAAGATCAGTTTCATTGCAATAGGCAAATTTATTTAAAAGTTATTAGTGTTCTCAGAAATTATTTATAACTTTTGACCAACAGGTGGCGCTGTCTCAAAATCTTTTGAGTACCTTCAGGGCATGCTGCTTATGGCACACACTGAGTTTCGTAATGTTATACCAAAGCATTTATTTAGTATAGCATTGTATTTCACAAAACTGTATTGAAGTCAATGGGAATTTCACGTTTTGTTCTATTATAGCGCCACCAAGAGGCTCAGTCCCACAATTTTTTGTGTGTGTCCTCAGAGTGAACCCATACATATGTGTGTCGATTTTGGTGAAAATATCTCAATTCGCTTCCGAGTTATAAACATTTATATGAAAAAACACGTAAAAAATGACTGACACATGACTTTGTTTGAATTTTACTACCCCTTACTATCAATATTTTCGCATTTGGGCATTAGCGTTTAGTTAACAAGCTATGATTCCGTGTTTCTGACGGTGGTTTCGTCTCGATCGGAGCAGCGGTTTCAAAGATATCGCCACGTGTTTTTTTCGCGCTAAATCGCTATGCTACGCCATCCGTGAGACGAAACCCGACATATTTGGTATCGTTGGACTCGGCAACAATTCAGGACCTCAGAAAGATGACTCCCATGAAAATAAGTGTACCACACCCAAAGTTATAAGCGTTTGAAGAAAAAAATTCACCACTGTTTCGAAACTTCTCAGGCTCCTTCAGGGCATCGTACTGATGACCCATACCGAGTTTCGTAACAATTCGTTCATGCGTTCAAAAACTACAGCATTTTAGCACATAATTCAAAATGGCCGACGGCCAAAATGGCCGATCTGGGAAAATTGGATATCAGTCGACTCGGCATGATGCCCTGAATCTAACAAGATGAAGTTTATGATTTTTGGACAAACCGTTCAGAAGTTACGAGCAAAAATAGCCATTTTTCATATCTGCGGACCACTAGGCGGCGCTGCGCCGAAACGCTGCATGTAGCCTCAGGTCATGCTTGTGATTACATGTACCAAGTTTGGTCTGAATAGGATGAAGCGTTGCGGAGATACAGCCTTACGTCTGTTTTCGCAAGCGTTACGTAAAATTAGTTTGTGCGTTTATCAAAAACCGTTAAGCGAATCATCTTGAATTCCATAACTTTTTGTCAGCACTGCCTGGAGATGATCCGGTGCGATTTTGGTGAAAATCGGACAAACCGTCTAGGACGAGTTCGCAAAAGTACGTTTTTTAGAAAATTCAAAATGGCGGCCATGTTTTTATGACGGAAAATGACGTCATAGGGTGCGATCGAATCGGCATGAGCTCAGGAACAAGAGGAAAAAAGAATTTTGTTGATAGGCCTTACGGTTCAAAAGTTATTAGCATAATAAAAGTGAAACTTTGGACAGTTGGTGGCGCTAAAGGGAATGAGTTAGAGACACCAAAATTGGTGTATTTAAAGTTGGGACTGTCCTCTATCAGAATGTCAAACCAAAACAACTTTCCCGCAAACCGGTCTATGGGCTGCCATAGACGCCCAGTCGGAAGAAGAAGAATAATAATAAATATAGCTGCAAGCAGCCATTACCGGGGCCAAGCGCAAGAAGCGGCAACATATGCCAAAATGGCAAGGAGTGGCAGACCAACTGCAGCAAGGAGCAATTAAGGGCATTTTGAGAGAACTTTGGGCAAATGGCTAAAAAAATCACATAAACATTAACTTATAAGATGATTTAATGGGTTATCACTTTCGAACAATAGGTGGCGCAGTTACGAAATAGATGTGATGTGGTCAGAGGGAGGTGACAATGACACATGCAAAGTTTGGTGTCAAAATGTGAAGGCATTGCAGAGATAAAGCCTAAATAGTAATTTTGGCAGCATGCCTAAATTTTGATGCTGTGGTATACGAAAACGGTTTTGTCTATCATCGTGCAATTCATAACTTTTAGTCGGCACGGTCTGGAGATGATGCGATTAAATTTTCGTGAAAATCGGACAAACGGTCTAGGAGGAGTTCGAAAAAGAAGGCTTTTCAAAGAAATAAAGATGGCGGACAGGAAGTTTGTCTGATTATGCAAAACCTGATATCTATGTTTTCGGCATAACCCAAGGAATCTATTAAGATCAGTTTCATTGCAATAGGCAAATTTATTCAAAAGTTATTAGCGTTCTCAGAAATTAATTATAACTTTTGACCAACAGGTGGCGCTGTCTCAAAATCTTTTGAGTACCTTCAGGGCATGCTGCTTATGGCACACACTGAGTTTTGTAATATTACACCAATGCATTTGTTTAGTATAGCATTTTATTTCACAAAACTCTATTGAAGTCAATGGGAATTTCACGTTTTGTTCTATTATAGCGCCACCAAGAGGCTCAGTCCCACAATTTTTTTTATGTGTCCTCAGAGTGACCCCATACATATGTGTGTCAATTTTGGTGAAAATATCTCAATTCGCTTCCGAGTTATAAACATTTATATGAAAAAACACGTAAAAAATGACTGACACATGACTTTGTTTGAATTTTACTACCCCTTACTATCAATATTTTCGCATTTGGGCATTAGCGTTTAGTTAACAAGCTATGATTCCGTGTTTCTGGCGGTGGTTTCGTCTCGATCGGAACAGCGGTTTTGAAGATATCGCCAAGTGTTTTTTTCGCGCTAAATCGCTACGCTACGCCATCCGTGAGACGAAACCCGACATATTTGGTATCGTTGGACTCGGCAACGATTCAGGACCTCAAAAATTTGACTCCCGTGAAAATAAGTGTACCACACCCAAAGTTATAAGCGTTTGAATAAAACAATTCACCACTAGGTGGCGCTGTTTCGAAACTTCTCAGGCTCCTTCAGGGCATCGTACTGATGACCCATACCGAGTTTCGTAACAATTCGTTCATGCGTTCAAAAAATACAGCATTTTAGCACATAATTCAAAATGGCCGACAGCCAAAATGGCCGATCTGGGAAAATTGGATATCGGTCGACTCGGCATGACGCCCTGAATCTAACGAGACCAAGTTTTTGATTTTTGGAGATACCGTTCAGAAGTTACGACCAAAAATAGCCATTTTTCATATCTCCGGACCACTAGGTGGCGCTGCGCCGAAACGCTGCATGTAGACTCAGATCATGCTTGTGATGACATGTACCAAGTTTGGTCTGAAAACGAGTAAGCGTTGCGGAGATACAGCCTCACGTCTGTTTTCGCAAGCGCTACGTAAAATTAGTTTGCGCGCTTATCGAAAACGGTTATTCGAATCATCATGAATTCCATAACTTTTTGTCAGCACTGCCTGGAGATGATCCGGTGCGATTTTGGTGAAAATCGGACAAAGCGTCTAGGACGAGTTCGCAAAAGTAGGTTTTTTGGAAAATTCAAAATGGCGGCCAATTTTTTATGACGGAAAATGACGTCATTGGGTGCGATCGAATCGGCATGAGCTCAGGAACAAGAGGAAAAAAGAATTTTGTTGATAGGCCTTACGGTTCAAAAGTTATTAGCATAATAAAAGTGAAACTTTGGACAGTTGGTGGCGCTAGAGGGAATGCATTAGAGACACCAAAATTGGTGTATTTAAAGTTGGGACTGTCCTCTATCAGAATGTCAAACCAAAACAACTTTCCCGCAAACCGGTCTATGGGCTGCCATAGACGCCAAGTCAGAAACGGAAGAAGAATAATAATAAATATAGCTGCAAGCAGCCATTACCGGGGCCAAGCGCAAGAAGCGGCAACATATGCCAAAATGGCAAGGAGTGGCAGACCAACTGCAGCAAGGAGCAATTAAGGGCATTTTGAGAGAACTTTGGGCAAATGGTTAAGAAAATCACATAAACATTAACTTATAAGATGATTTAATGGGTTATCACTTTCGAACAATAGGTGGCGCAGTTACGAAATAGATGTGATGTGGTCAGAGTGAGGTGACAATGACACATGCAAAGTTTGGTGTCAAAATGTGAAGGCATTGCAGAGATAAAGCCTAAATAGTAATTTTGGCAGCATGCCTAAACTTTGATGCTGTGGTATACGAAAACCGTTTTGTCTATCATCACGCAATTCATAACTTTTAGTCGGGACGGTCTGGAGATGATACGATTCAATTTTCGTGAAAATCGGACAAACCGTCTAGGAGGAGTTCGAAAAAGAAGGTTTTTCAAAGAAATAAAGATGGCGGACAGGAAGTTTGTCTGATTATGCAAAACCTGATATCTATGTTTTTTGGCATAACCCAAGGAATCTATTAAGATCAGTTTCATTGCAATAGGCAAATTTATTCAAAAGTTATTAGCGTTCTCCGAAATTAATTATAACTTTTGACCAACAGGTGGCGCTGTCTCAAAATCTTTTGAGTACCTTCAGGGCATGCTGCTTATGGCACACACTGAGTTTTGTAATATTACACCAATGCATTTGTTTAGTATAGCATTTTATTTCACAAAACTCTATTGAAGTCAATGGGAATTTCACGTTTTGTTCTATTATAGCGCCACCAAGAGGCTCAGTCCCACAATTTTTTTTATGTGTCCTCAGAGTGACCCCATACATATGTGTGTCAATTTTGGTGAAAATATCTCAATTCGCTTCCGAGTTATAAACATTTATATGAAAAAACACGTAAAAAATGACTGACACATGACTTTGTTTGAATTTTACTACCCCTTACTATCAATATTTTCGCATTTGGGCATTAGCGTTTAGTTAACAAGCTATGATTCCGTGTTTCTGGCGGTGGTTTCGTCTCGATCGGAACAGCGGTTTTGAAGATATCGCCAAGTGTTTTTTTCGCGCTAAATCGCTACGCTACGCCATCCGTGAGACGAAACCCGACATATTTGGTATCGTTGGACTCGGCAACGATTCAGGACCTCAAAAATTTGACTCCCGTGAAAATAAGTGTACCACACCCAAAGTTATAAGCGTTTGAATAAAACAATTCACCACTAGGTGGCGCTGTTTCGAAACTTCTCAGGCTCCTTCAGGGCATCGTACTGATGACCCATACCGAGTTTCGTAACAATTCGTTCATGCGTTCAAAAAATACAGCATTTTAGCACATAATTCAAAATGGCCGACAGCCAAAATGGCCGATCTGGGAAAATTGGATATCGGTCGACTCGGCATGACGCCCTGAATCTAACGAGACCAAGTTTTTGATTTTTGGAGATACCGTTCAGAAGTTACGACCAAAAATAGCCATTTTTCATATCTCCGGACCACTAGGTGGCGCTGCGCCGAAACGCTGCATGTAGACTCAGATCATGCTTGTGATGACATGTACCAAGTTTGGTCTGAAAACGAGTAAGCGTTGCGGAGATACAGCCTCACGTCTGTTTTCGCAAGCGCTACGTAAAATTAGTTTGCGCGCTTATCGAAAACGGTTATTCGAATCATCATGAATTCCATAACTTTTTGTCAGCACTGCCTGGAGATGATCCGGTGCGATTTTGGTGAAAATCGGACAAAGCGTCTAGGACGAGTTCGCAAAAGTAGGTTTTTTGGAAAATTCAAAATGGCGGCCAATTTTTTATGACGGAAAATGACGTCATTGGGTGCGATCGAATCGGCATGAGCTCAGGAACATGAGGAAAAAAGAATTTTGTTGATAGGCCTTACGGTTCAAAAGTTATTAGCATAATAAAAGTGAAACTTTGGACAGTTGGTGGCGCTAGAGGGAATGCATTAGAGACACCAAAATTGGTGTATTTAAAGTTGGGACTGTCCTCTATCAGAATGTCAAACCAAAACAACTTTCCCGCAAACCGGTCTATGGGCTGCCATAGACGCCAAGTCAGAAACGGAAGAAGAATAATAATAATAATAGGAAACGGAACAGATACAATAGGTGCCTCCGCACCTTCGGTGCTTGGCCCCTAATAATAGGAAACGGAACAGATACAATAGGTGCCTCCGCACCTTCGGTGCTTGGCCCCTAATAATAATAATAATAAGAACCGGAACAGATACAATAGGTGCCTCCGCACCTTCGGTGCTTGGCCCCTAATAAAAACATTCACCAAAAACTGAAAATTCAAACTTCGAAACACAAATGAAGATTTTTTTTATGAAAACAGATTTATGTGCCTCAATTGAAAGGAATGTTAAAAAGTGAAAAGAATGTTAAAAAAAGAGATCGTAAAAAATCTATACAATTAAAAGATCAATCCGAGTCTTCTAAATAAATACAATCACTTTATATACCATGATGAGGACATTTATTATAGGCCTATTCACATATAAACATTGATCAATGCACTTATATGGAGCACATCAAATATGATAAACGGAAGCTAAATGATATTTGCTTGACATGTGAGAATGCAGAATCTCTCTAGTTCAGCAAAAGCTATTTCAAAACATCTGAATATCAGATAAATATGGAATGCATTAGGAATCTGAATGATTTAATGAACACAAGACTCATTGGTAACTAAAAGCCTCTAGCAGCCGCAAAAGATTAAGTCACTCAAAAATAATTCTCTGATCTTCCAGGGATATTTCTGTAGATAATTAGGGTCCAAAAGCAACTTTGAGAAAATATACTAGTGATATATATTCCTTACTGCTCATGCATTTTGATTTAGTTTCCAATAATAATAGAAATCCTGGCATGGGGGTATGGGGAAGTGTGTTACTTCCAAATCCTGTAATACAGTATAAAAGAATTGTTGTGCTTCTATATGGACTTGGATGACTGTTCATTTTGTATTATGTATAGAGTTTACTATTTCAACATTTATAAAAAAAAAAATTATTGATTATATTTTCAGTTCTCATTTCAATATATTTGTGCATTGCAGTTAAGGCGCCCTCTCAAGCCCCGTTCACTGCACTAGCTTTTCGCAGAAAAATGTATTGCAAATACTCATATGATGTGGTTAAAACTGCTAATTAATCATTCGGAGAGCTTAAAATTTTATTAACTACGTTTTTTAACTAATTTACACACACACACAAAAGTGTGACTGGACGGCCGTTTCCCGGTGCTGAAAATGAGCCTATATATGTAGCAAAATAGTCACGGCTTCTATCAATATTTTATATGCGTTATGAGAACTTTGAGCAATTTCTTTGGAATTCAGCAGGTGGTAAAATCGTGTCGTATATCTATATACATTTCCGGATAAACTCACTCGTAAAGTGTGCGTGAACATACGATCTTCAGACCGTCAGAATTCGCACCGTGTGCGCCCGCCTTTAGTTACCAAGGCAGCATTTCTAATTTTAGTTAACATTTTTTAAATGTAACTATTTCATTTAATAATTTATGTACAAATTTCAATTACCAAAATTAAATTTTTAATAGTTTCAGGTTTCGTTAACAATAACACCACTGTTTGGAGTCCTGTTGGTGTCACGTTCCCACTCTCTCTTCCTGTACTTTTGTGTTGGTTGTGTGATACAAGAGAACAAACCTCATCCTCACATTTAAGCTTCAGTTTAAAACTTAACTTAAAACTATTATGATCTCTTCACTAACTTTTTAAATCGTTAAAGTTTTGGTGGAACAGAGTTTCAATGAAGTCAAGTCAAGTGGGACGAACATTTTTCAGGTTTCATAAAAAATATCTTCAGTTGTGTTTCAAAGATGAATGACAGTCTTATTGGTTTAGTACAACAACATTTTTGGGTGAACTATCCCATTAAGGAAATTCACACTCTTACCTAAAATTATATGTTTTATCATGTTCTCTGGTAAACCAACTCATGAGCTAAGTGAGCACACTCATCTTGAGCAACATCCTCACCTGTGGCATCCGTGGCTGTGACATCCACACCATGATTGAGAATGAGATTCAGGCAGTCGAGATGTCCTCTGGAGGCAGCAAGATGGAACCTGGAGAAGAAGAGAGAGAAAAACAGTGCTGAAAATTGATGCCTGGCTTGCTTTTGCGCCCGTCATCAGAATTGTAGAGGAGGAAAGGGCTATCATCAGAAGAAAATCTCTCTCCCATTAAGTGCATCTGCACGCAAAACTCTTCACTTTACATTACATAAGCAGCATACTTCTTATTCAAACATCTCTCATATGAACATACTTCCATTATTGAAATGCTGGCCATGTAACTTAAAGTGTCTATAACTGCAGATGCAGAAGATGATGTTTCTATTTAACTGGTTCACATTCATGAAAGATTCAGAACGGATAAAAATCAGCACTTTGAGCAGCTCAGTTTAAAGAGGTGAGAATGTCCTCTGAGGCATGCTGTGAAGATAGATGTGCAGATGTTCACCTTTGTTTGAAAAGTGTTACCAGTATTTAAGACCATGTTGATGGTGAGAAGTCAAACATGTAGACAGATGACCTGACCCGAAACTCAATGTGTAAAGTAAGTTGTAGCCAACTCCACACACAGTCTCAAAACAACCCATAGACAATGAATAGGTGGCAACTGACTTATTAGAGTTGAGGACATAAAAATGTTGTGTTTTTAATACTGTTTTAGCAATGGGGTGACTCTCAAATGCCAAGTGCAAATCACTTTTTGAAACTTATGATAGCTTTTTTTGTAAACCATCAAAACGACATTTGCCCAACTACTATAAACTAAATGTGAAAGAATCAAATGTAAATCTAAATGTTTTAAAAAGCACAATTTCCAGCCGAAAGGGAGCCACAGCTCATTGCTCTTGCAGGTTCCTGCAAATATGATTTCATAGCTAAAAACGACTAAATGCAATAACGTTAGGTATATGGAAAGAAGGTGGCTGTTATTATGGTGAATGACCCTTGGCGATTAGAGGAGACTGAAGGGCTCAGATGGTCATGAAGACCCAGACATGTCATTCTAGCTTGGCTCCAACTCCTTGGCTGACTCGCATATCTGCAGCTCCAAGATACATTATGTATTTTTAGAGGTGCCAGAGAGGTGGAGTGGGGGGCAGTTTGAATTCAAAACAAGAATTTTGCATGCTGCACCAGTCTGTCACCAGAATTTTTGCAGTTCAGCGAAAGCCATTTCAAAACATCTGAATGTCTGATAAATGTGGAATGCATTAGGAAGTTGAATAATAATTGAAATGAACACAAGACTCATTGGTAACTAAAAGCTTCTAGCAGCCGCAAAACATCAAGTATTTCAAAAATAATTTTCTGATTTTCCAGAGAAATTTCTGTGGATATTCAGGGTCCACAAATAAATATATATATTTATTACTGGTAATGCATTTTGTATTAGTTTCCAATATTATATTCATAATAAAAGTTTGGTCTTTAATATATGGAGTAGTGTGTTACTCCAAAATACAATCAAATAAAGAATTGTTGCACTTCTAGGGACCTGAAGGCCTGTTATTTTAGTATTGTGTATAGCCTGGACTATTACAGTTCTCATTCAATATATTTCTGTATTATTGCAGTTAGTTTTCAAAAAGCAGCACATCTAATTTTAAGTTTTTCACTTAATATTTTGGGTACATATTTCAATTCCCGAAAATGAAATGTTTAATCGTTTTAGGTTTAGTCAACAACAACACCAGTTTTGAGTTAGGACTCAGGGACACGTCCCAGACCCATTTCACTTCGCCCTCTTTTCCTGTACTTTTCTGCAAGGTGAATAGATAAGTTTTAAATTAAGATTTACAGGTCTGGAGGTTAGGGGTGGCAATGCAGTTTAGGGGGCAGCTTAGGGCCTATAACACTAAAGGCTCAACCACCCACGGTAGAGAATACTTGGGTACAACAAGCAAATTATCAGTTACAAGATGTTGCTATTGTAACATTTGTCTATTTTATATTGTAATCTCTGACCAAATAAAAAAATGTGTGAGCAGTAATAGAAAGACACTTCACTAACATCAGCGAGGGCCAGATTACCCTTTTTGTGATTTGATTTAAACCATATTCAGTTCCTAACGACGTTACTGGTGCTCTCATTTGGCACTTGTCAAGTTTTAATTGCAGATCTTGGATAAATCTATTTTCAAAAGTGGGTGTGTTAAAGAAACAAAAGTCATGGTCACAGCAGGAAGTCTATGTTTCCTGTGAACTAACCATCCATTAGCAAGCTCTGTCAACCAGGTGTATTTCATGCCACACTCCTCTTTATACATAAACATCTGCTCATTTCCATCTGCCCACAAGGCTAAAATCCTGTACTAATGCAGGCTACCAACTTACCCAGCCAAACTACTGGATTACACCCTACAAGCCCTGTGGTCTGCCCTCCCTGTGAGCTATTCTGACTGGTGAGCAAAATAACAGGCTGGAGATGCAGTCTGCATGTGGGGTCCGGCTATATATGAACAGAGGATTTCCACAAATCCAAAGTCATGTGACCTGTGTATTCCACTACTAGACTGTACACAAAAAGGCAACATACGCTCATGTTCAGGTCATTTGGCAGCCGTTAGGCAGCACAGACCATCCACAAGTATGTTTAATATATCAAGCTGGTGTTTATTAATTGAGCTCTGTTACACTAAGGCCGACTCGACGACTGTGACGGCGGTGAATGCACTTGATTTAGTCCTGAGAAATTCTAGCACCTTATTACAAGTCAAGCTCATCTCCACCCAACCGAGCAAAAAGAATCTCACACTATGACAAAAATACCCAAAGGGGAATCTTATGGACTAAATGAGGGAATGAAACAAAGCTGTGGTTAAATCAAGCTGAAATGAGTCCATCTATGCCCTACATATACCATGTCCAAGCAGTAAAAACATCAGGGATGGACGGGAGGCCAGCTTGGCTTTCTAAAACAGGAAAAGACGCAATTGATGATTGTTGAAGTCTACTGTGTGGTCATTTAATAATGTGGAACATCAGTCAGGGATACTGAATAAGATGGTTCAACGAATCACCTCTAACTTAAAATACTTTTCTTGCATTCATCCCAAAATAAAGAGGCATCATCTAAAGCTCTCTGGACTGGGAGCTTTCAGAAGATTACATAAGCAGTTAACATGCCAGTTTAGGAAGGGAAAAAAACTCCTAGCTCCTAAATTTAGTCAGTGTAGGACTACACAAGCATAGATTTACTCACTGAAGACCCACTTCTAGCCCAGGAGGCCCGTGCTGTTCTGCGCCTGGTCGAGCTTCCCTGACCTCATGTTTTCCAATCTTAACATAAACCCTTGGTTGGCACAAAATGCCTCATACTGTAGGTCTATCAATTTCTATAAAAACCAAAGCATTTCAAGTTGATCACAAGCACACCTCTACAACCAATATTGAAGAAAAAGCCATCAGCATTACAGTACTAATAATAAAATAAAAACAACAGTATTACAAATGCAAATATATTTGTAAATAAATAGCCTTGGGCTAATAAAGTGACAATAAGCCTGCTGCATGATAAAGCAGTGTAATACATTGAACGGGTTAGTTGAAGATCATATTCAAGACAAGAAATTATATACATTTTTTCCTATACTGAAAACTCTTGAACACAACTGTGTCTATACTATTACAGAAACTACGGTGTCTATATTGCATGTACTTTATTGCAGGTTTAAGAAATATGCAGACCTAAAGAGAGTGAAAGTACAAACTATTATAAATAATCTGTTTCTGTACTGTAAGTGACAAGCAAGGATGTGCAAAACGACAAATATTCAAAGCAGACTAAGTCGTATGCTCCCTAGTCGATTAATCTGTCTTAAGGATGCCCTGTACAATTAGGTTGGTTTTGGGTTAATCCCGCCAAGAGAGGCCACGTTTCTTAGGGACGTGTTCTTATGCTAACCAATAAGACAGTGGATCCGAATGCAGGGTTCTGGAAAAAGGTTCTGAAATGTAGGACTGTTTAACTTGGCACATACAAAAAATCTAGATAAACTATTTGACCTTAACAATAGCCTAGTCAGTTGTTGGATGACAATTCGACAATTGTGACCCACCCATAGTCACAGGAACTTACGCAGAGCGGCCCTCTACATCGAGTTTGGTAGGGATGATGCCCTTCTTGCCAAGCACTCCTGCAACCTTGTCCACCTCTCTCCTCTCCACTGCCTTCATCAGCCTGTCATCATACTTATTCCAGTCGGTGTTCTAAAGGATAGAGAAAGAGAGAGAGATCAGCACATCCATAACATCAGCATATATACAAAGACAGCAGAGTCATGTTCAATAAAACTGCAGAGGTGACAGCTATTGTTCATGAGTCCTCTAATGACCAGGGTGGTGATTGCTAGAGTAATTAGCTGAGTGAAGGAATGTGAACAACTCCTATACACCACATATTCAAATATTCATAAGGCAAAACAGGAAATAAAATGTGTGAAGGAAATGAAAAGGCTTTATATCTTTGCTAAAAAAAAATGTTTTTGTGGGTTAATGTGCAATGCACGTCTTCGATAAAGCACCATTTCGAGGAGTATAATAAACATTAAAATATGATATACCATTTCTGAAATCTGCATCTGATGGAAGGGTTAAGTTAATGTTGAATATCAATAAACGCCAGGGAAAGTTAAGAACTGGTAAATCAAAACAACATCAGAGAAAATAAATACTTTGTCTTAATATACATTTCCCAAACCAAATAATAATGTGAGGGGGGAAAAAGAAAAGAAAAAGTAAAACTATTGCATCAACAAAAAATGCTTTAAATCACACAAGTTGACAAACTGTTCAAAAGACCTCTAAGCTCCAAAGACCAAGCAACAATTCACTCTCCAAAGAATGCGGCAGCATTCCTGGCTTCCTTGAATTTATGGAGATAGCTATAAGTCATTCTCTCACACTGAGACAAAACAAGCACACACACACAATGAAATAACAGCCTCTCTCCCTCCAGCCTGTGCATAGAAGACAAAAAGAACAGAGCACAGCAAAGTTTAAGGGAAAATCACTACTAAGAATCTCTTAATACCTACAAAGTACATGGAGGTGCATTTGAGCCATCGACTCATCTTGGTGGTCCTTTTGCAATGGTCTGGAGAAGTACAGAAATAAGAAAAAGTTCTTCTTTTGCCTGTCCGACAAAATGAACACTCAGCCAGCGAGTGTTTGTTTGTGTGTGTGTGTGTTGTCTTCAGATGAATCCCCCTCTCCAGCAGGCAGCCAGCGCCTAGCAGGGGGACCAGAAACCTCGGCAGAGTCCTCGAACTTCTCTCCAGCCCACAGCCTCTCCCCGAGACTTCATCACGGCATGAGAAACGATGCAAACACACACAGAGAGAGAGAGAGAGAGCCGCTGTAGCGCAGGGACCAGCCCCGGGACAGCAGCTCCTCCTTTCGGGGTTGAGTCTATCTCTTCCCCTCTCTGTTAGATCGTCCTCCTGTCTCGACAGGCTCTATCTTCTAAAGCTAGGCTGCTTTCAGTTCCCTGCTCCTCTTCTTCTGACTCGATCTTCTTTGCTCCTCTTTGCCAAATGGCAAGGTTGTTCAACCTCTGGTGGTAAATATTTGAGCTCTTCCAGGTCTAAAATATCCCTGTAAACAACACGCAGACAAGCCGTTACCTCTTTATTTTTGACCCTCGGACCTTCCTCCAATGACTGATTGAGGTAGAACTGCTAATAATAAACCATCCAAGCATATCTAGTCCATGAGTAACCGTTACAGTGACACCCGTGAGCAACAAGGCCAGCCAAACGAGAGGTACCTCGGTGCTGACTGCATCCCCCTCCGCAGTCATGGCCGGCCGCGCATAAAGCCACAACAACCATTAATCTCTTGGAGATTAAAGTCTCAGGTCCAGACCAGGTCATCATCTGGCGGTCTGACGAGACGCTTCCAGCCTTTTGGCAGGAGGGGTCCGCGTTGACGGCACACAGTAGCAGGATTAGGTGTCGGCTTTTTACAATCAACCGTCTGGCATATGGAGCCTGGAAGCCTGTTTACTATCGCCTCATGGCATCTCTGAAACTGCAAGACAGACACTACGCAAAAGATCTTTTACCAAAAGCAAGATGTCAGCTTTTAATTTGGTAGATGAGAGATTTGAAAGCGATTCAAAAGGCAGCAGGGACGTGTTAAATTTTCACACCAGTGCCAATGGGGGAGTTCAGTTACTCCTTAAAATGCCCCACTACTACCCCCACCGATACAGCAGCATACATGTGAGAATACCCACACATATAGCATGTCATAAGGGGGTGCTGGGTTGGGTATCAACTCTCAAAACCTGCTCGGCCCCATAGAAACAATGAAACTGAAATGGATGCATATAGGTTCTAGTCCCTTAAATAGGCACAATAGAGAGTGTGTGGATGTGTAAGAGAGATGACTATTTCGGTTTTGTTTTGTCTTTTGCAGAGGACACTGGGTGAATAGACTATAAACATCTCACAACTGTAATTCTGTGCCAAAAAAAGTCTTGAAGAGCAAGACCATATATATATAAAAAAAAATTACATGTCTGTTTGGTAGGACACCATGGGCAATGTTATATTAATAAATATTTATCGTTTAAAACTTGAAATTAAGTTACTAACTGTAGTTTTTTTTCATTATTCGGCACTAAGCATGGACAAGTTTGTGAAAGGACTGCCAGTTCCAGGTAAACAACAACGCGTCTACATCAGACAAAAGCAAATAGAAACCAATTATAATCAGCGATGCTTTCTACACTGGATGCGGTGCGCCACGACGACAGATTCCTGACGTTCTATTTCTGGCCAAAAGCTCACGCAACTTTGACACAAGGGACAAATGGATCTGCTACGTTTTCTTTGTCACGTCCCTTGTAGACACAGTGATTTTATAGAAAAGGTAAAATGATGACAAGGCATATCTTGCCCTCAGATTCACCATTATAATGATGGGTAATGAAGAGAGACGAGTCCACAGTCTATTGTGGGCAGTGTTGGGAAAGTCCACATTCTACATGAACTAGTTTAAAGTTCAGTTTACACATTTTAAAATGAGCTAGTTCAGTTCATAGTTCATACTTCAAAAAATTAACTAGTTCATTTATAGTTCTTTTTTTCCATATGTTGTGAGCTCTTTAACTATTATTATTGCCACAGCCCATATACAACCACAGACAACAATTATTTTATCGACAGGCAGTTTGCACAGAAATGTAAAATTTCTCCCCATCCTCACCGACCTAGTCATAAAATCCATTTAAATGATCATACGACGCCTCCTCGCTCGCTGCTTTGTCGACGGCGGCCACGGCGCGACACTGCTGGCTGGTGTTGCCAGATTGGGTGTTTTTTCGCTACATATTAAGGCCTTTTTACGTGTTTTAGCCGGGTTTTCGCCTGGAAGGCTCTATAGAAATCTGGCACCTGATCGAGCGAAGTTAAACTGAGAGAACGTGCGCTCACGACACCAGAATGAACACTTTCACAGTCACGTTCATTAGGCAGTAATACAGTACGTTCAGTTCACGGTCGCCCAAAATTTAACGCGTTCAGGCACAACACTAGTTGTGGGTCTCAAAATATTAGCTTCTGACAGAATGAAGCCGAGCAAATTAAGACGCCACTTAGAGACTTCACATCACAAACGCAATGAGAAGCCCCTTGAAGTTGATTTGTTGTAGTACTGTATTATTTACGATGTTTCAAATAAACAAAGGATTTGATTATCAAAGATCGTCAAGAATATAAAAAAACAAGGATTTTTCAAGCAAGGTCATTATGTGGGTGGATGTTGGTGGGGTGTAAAAAGTTTGGAACCACTGCATTAAGAGAATAGTTCAGCCCAAAGTTAAAATTCAGTCATCACTTAAAGTAGGGCTGGGTTAAAAATATTGAATTGTGTCAATGGTCAGTCCTATCAATTACTTCACCCTCATGTCATTCTAAATCTATAACTTTTTTCTTTATGGAACACAAAATAAGACATTTAAAATAGACATTTAAAATTTTTCCTGACTTTCATATGTGAAAAAAAAAACTTTCCAAATGAAAGTCTTACTAGCTTGGAACGATATGAGGGTGATTAAAAGAAGTTTTATTTTTGGAATAAAATATTGCTTTAAAGGATACATCAAGAACTTCGACAACCTTAGCATTCTCGCCGTAATCATTACACCAGTGCACTCATTTTCTGTTCCAGAAAACAAAGTCATGACATCTCCTATTTGTATGCATTTACTCAAGAAGAGTCTTAACCTCTGGGTACAGTAAACAGATAGTGTGTGTGTGCAATGCATGAACAAAACTCATTTGCATACAAGGGACAGGTGCAAGCAGGTTGGTTTTTAATAAAGTTGAGCAATAGGGTGTGTCACATTTCTAGTGTTGATTCAACATGCACCCGTGAAATCTACACAAACACACGCTCTATGGTGTGTTTTCAATGTGAACACGTTAATAAGACCAACGGGGAATGAAGTGATAAGCTCTCTGGTTGGACAATGTATCTAGGTTGAATCTTGGCTGCCGGGCAGTCTGGGTGACTCTGTGTTATAACTCATGTCAACACCTTGTAAAAATGAAACCCAATCCCTCATCCCAAATCACACCCACAAAGTCTTGCCTGGCAACAGCAAACGTACATGGCCATAAATCAAGACACACAGAAGAAAGCTATAGATACGTCTGTCCAGATACACTAAAATAACACAATAAGAGACTGAACATAACCAAGCAGTTATTATGGGTGTGACAGAGTGATCATGTATGCATGATATTTCTCGCTCTCTTTTTTTTTTTTTTTTAAAGAGTGTCAATGCTTTAACTACTGCCTTCACTAGCCCAGGGCCATATGTTGACAACTATGAATTATTAATGGCATAAGCCGAAATCTGCACAACAGCTCACTCAACAAGCTCATCTTCTCTGCTGCTCCCACATAAGGACACCTGGAGCTATGACATCTATGAAATTTACATCTGTTTTTATCATTTTCCCATAATTCTTACACAGAAAAACTCTCATCCCATCAGACATGTGACATGTCATCCAAACATCATCAGATCTGATTTAGTGCTGCACTGACCACAGACAGATGAGTTGCTGTTGAATCAGCCCCCCTGGAGCGGAGCAGAGAGCAGTCACGCTGGATTTAGAAACTTCTGGAGACAGACGTAACCCTCTCATGTGACTGTAGAGGGTGGAATTGCTGAAGGTGGGAAAAGAGAGGGAGAA